TAAGGAGGGGTGAACCGGCCCAGATCAGAAACGGAGCAGGTCAAGAAATAAACTTTCAACATAAAATTCAAGTAATTGCAGATGTAAATATGGTGTCAATATCAAGTATTAGATCTCAGAACTTCCTAATATAATCATAAGTAGAATTTAGAAATCTATAGAAGGTAACTCAAAAAAAAATTTAGTGTCAGTTTAAAAATGCAGAAGTGAGAAGAGCTAGCTATCTTAAAGCCCCACTATCCAACCTGAAGTGAATCTTGCTCTGTTTTTCTTAAAGCTATGTTTCTTGAATAAATCACCCATATACTATTCTTTCAATAATCCATCTCTGGGTCACCATCTTAAATGCTATATTCCCCAACAAATCTATGTGTGCTTGGAAAATTATTTCTGCTAGTTCTACATTTAGAGAGGCCTTATTGGTAAAATAATGTACATATTAACTTTCCTTTTGAATTACCCAAGACTCTCCAGAAATGTGAGTAGACCTAACCACAAATCTATAGTAGTCATCAGAATGTCTATGATCTCTCATACACACAGAATTGTTACGGATTTGTCTAGTATACATTTTCTGGGGGAAAAATTTATAGTTTCATTAGCATTCTATAGAAATCTAAGACCACAAAAAGATTAAAAATATAAGTGGAGCAGAGCTAAGTTTTCTGAATTAATCAGCTTTGACTTTCACATAAAACAGGTCAGTCAATGATCCAAGACATTCTTCCAATGACCTATATTGGAAATAAAGTAAACTTAATTACATATAAATTATTGCAAAACTTAAAGGAAAAGAAAGAAAGGAGAGGATATGGCGGGAGAGAGGACGAAGAGGGCAAAATACAGTTATCTTCTTAGAATTGTACCTATAAAATACATGAAATCTGGTACTATTAACCAAATTTTTAAAAATAGAGCAAAGTGCCTAAATATATTGGTATTTTCTCATATTGTGCAGAAAAGGAGGAATACTTCAATAAAGAGGCAAATGAATTACTATTAATTAAAATAGCATGGCCCACTACCATGTTGAAAATATGGAACACTTTCAAAGGCTCTATGAATTCAATGTAATAATATTCATATATATGGAGTTGAACTAAACTGTATCAATTAATCTAAAATAATTTGGTCATCAAATATATCACAAAGAAATTCAGTATTTTCTCTGCTCATCCTGCAAAAGAAATAACAAAAATAGGGCCAGTGCCATGGTGCTGTATGTTAATTCTCCTCCTGCAGTGCCAACATCCCATAGGGGCACTGGTTCTAGTCCCAGCTGCTCCTCTTCCTATCCAGCTCTCTGCTATGGCCTGGGAAAGCAATAGAAGATGGCCCAAGTGCTTGGACCCCTGCACCTGTGTGAGAGACCCGAAAGAAACTGCTGGCTCCTGTCTTCGGTTTGGCCCAGCTCAGGTTGTTGTGGCCATTTGGCGAGTGAACCACAGGATGGAAGACCCTTTTCTCTGTCTCTCCCTCTCACTGTCTGCAACTCTACCTCTCAAATAAATAAATAAAGTCTTTTAATTTTTTTTTAAAAATGACTAAAATACAGCAATAGTATAAAATATTTATTCTCTTTTCACATACTGAAGACAAAATATTGAATTCAGGTGAAAAGCTAAATTGTTATTAACAAAGTTAGGAAACACCAACAAATAATCTTGCTACCAAAATATTTGAAACTTCTGTTACAGATAGTGTTTTAATGACAGTCATTTTTTTCATGTAACCTGTTTTTTAGGTACCATGTGTGGTTCTCAGCATAAAGAAGTTTTCTTGGAATATATCTCATATGAAAATCTTCAGTTAAAGGCAGTTGCTCTTCAAATGTTCACCTTTTTATTACTACACCATTTCTAAATGTGTCACACAAAAATAATGGAACATCATATTCTCTTTTGCAGATGCATTAATGAATAAGTTGGTAATAATTTCTTAAATGTCCTTGAATAGTTAATGACAGAGATAATATAGATAAACATAAATTGACATCCCCTAATTGTTGTGGAGCTGGGTATCTGACAAGCAATTAAAACATAGCTTTGGATGCCCCTATCCCATTTGTTAAAGTGCCTGAATTCAAATCCTGGTGCCTATCCCAATTTTAGCTTCCTGGTGATGTCCACCCTGGGAGCCAGCAGATGATGATTCAAACATGTAGGTCCCCATCACCCATGTTGGAGACCTGGAAAAGATCCTGGGCTCTTCCTTCAGCCTGGCCCAGCCCCAGCCCCAGCATTTGTGAGAATTTGGGGAATAAACCAGCAGATGGATTGTTTTTCTTAACTGTCTTTGCCTGACTCTCTCACTCTCCTTATGTCTTGGAATTCAAACAAATAAAACTAAAAAAAATTTAAATTGAGGTGAGTCTACAAAATATTTTTAGTTCATTACTACCAACTTTAACTAGTATTCCTGGCAAATAGAATGTGTGTGTGTGTGTGTGCGCGCTTTAATAAGCAGCTTAAATAAGGCCTGCTATCCTTTCTTGCTGTGGTGTATTCCCCAAACTGAAATTTTTTACAAAAAAAAGAAATTCTTACTTTGTTTCACAGTAAAGATGATCAATTCATCATAATTCAGTCATTAGCTATTTTTGAAAGATCTTGACTCAAAATGTATTGTTTCAAATAAACCATTTGATATTGAATTAAGGACTGACAGAAAATTCCTCTATAAGGAATTTTTTTTGAAGTTCAAGATGCAAATTTATTTTGTAGTTCACATCCCAACTATCATCAGAAAATTTTAAGAAAAAGAAAATTCAATCCTATAGAGGCAAAAGTTTAGAGTCAAAAGCCATGAGAAAATATATATCCCATCTAACTAGTTCCTACTACAAAAAATCTGTAATTGATCACCTAATAGTTTTTATTAAACTATGTTTTAAGAGATGGCATTTAACCTAATGGCTGAGATGCCTGCCACCCTCATCAGAACACTTGGATTGAATACTGAGCTCTGGATTCTGATTTCAGCTTCTTGTTAATGCAGAATCTGAGAGGAAATGGTAATGCCTCAAATAATTGGATTTCTGTCACCCATGGGGACCTGGATTGCATTCATAACTCTGAGCTTCAGCCCTCACTTAGCACTAACTGTTGTGGGCATTGGGGAGTGAACCAGCAGATGAGAGCTCTCTGTGTCTGTCTCTCTGCTCTCAAACAAATAAGTAAATAAATACCATTTTAAAATCTGAAAAAAAAAAGAAAATTTTTACATTAATTTATCTCTGCATCTTAAAGAAAAAAAATTTAAACGGGTGATTTAGCTAAGTACATATTATAATAAAAAATAAATTTACCAAACTTTATAACTTGTAACATAGAATTAAATTTACAAATATCTAACACTTGATTATGCTATACGTATTTTTTTACAGATTTACTTTTTAGTTATTTGAAAGACAGAGTTACAGTAAGATTGTAGAGACATCCATCTGCTCTCCAAATGGCCACAACAGGAACTGCGCTGATCTGAAGCCGGGAGCCAGGTGCTTCCTCCTGGTCTCCCATGCGGGTGCAGGGCCCAAGGACCTGGGCCATCTTCCACTGCCCTCTCGGGCCACAGCAGATAGCTGGATTGGAAGAGGAGTAGCCAGGACTAGAACCGGGGCCCATATGGGATGCCAGCGCTGCAAGCCAGGGCTTTAACCCGCTGCACCATAGCGTCTGCCCCGATTATGGTATATTTAGAAGAGATCACCATGAACTCATGGTTTAGACAATAGTTAATAAGAATTCACTTACTGGAGATTTTTATATATGTTATATGCAGTGATCTACCTAGGGAATGACTGATAAAAACTCAAAACAATGCCTGACTTCTAATAATCAAAAAAAGAACCTCAAACTAATATTTTTCCATAGTATAAAATTATGATTATATAGTTCATTTCCTTTTACAATACTTTAAAATATTAAAGCTCATATAAAATAAGTAAGAAATTGTTTCACACCAGAATAGTGAGATGATTTTCATATGCTATCCTATTGTCAGTATAAAAGAGAAATTTTGACTTGAGAATCTAAATATATATCTCATCAACATCAGAATAAAATTTCACTATTTATAAATAGTATCTATGATAGTATGGTCAAAAAGTATCAAAAGACTCATCTCTTGTGTTCTCATAGCTCCTAGTCTAAGACAGAGTGCTTCATTCTTGAATATGAAGGTCTGGCTATGATACTAGTTTTCTCACTAATTGTCTGACCTGTCAGAAATGTCAGCAAATTCTGCCTGCGGCATTATGTTTATGGCCTTTTAAAGAAGCTGCACTTATCATTGGTGGTAATGGTCAGAGTCAGAATTTTACATTTTTTCATACAATTAATTCATGACTGTGCCCTCAACTATGTGATAAGCTACACAGGATCAGGGGGATCATGCCTTTTTTTGCTCACTATTGCATCTCAGCTGTCAGCCCACTACCAGGCAAATGTGGATGAGTTGAATGAATGGCAGAAGAGAGATAAGACAGAAGAAGAAATAGACAAAATATGCCTTGACACAAGAAGCAATTCAAATTTAAGGGTGGAAAATGATAGATATTAACATCGTAAGTTTTTAAAAGCAATATAGGAGGCCTGCGCTGTGGCACAGTGGGTTAACGCCCTGGCCTGAAGCGGCAGGCATCCCATATGGGCGCCGGTTCTAATCCCAGCTGCTCCACTTCCAGTCCAGCTCTCTGCTGTGGCCTGGGAAAGCAGTAGAAGATGGCCCAAGTGCTTGGGCCCTGCACCCGCATGGGAGACCTGGAAGAAGCTCTGGCTCCGGATCAGTGCAGCTAAAAGCAATATAGATCCTCAATTATATGTGAGTTTTATGATCTCATCACTAAAATAAACAATTAAATTAATGCCATATATTATTTAGTCCTGTAGTATTTTTAAGTAAGTTAAAATTTTGTAATTTGTACTTAAAATGTGCTTCTTCTGGGCAAGTATTTGGCCTAGCAGATGTCAGGACGCTCATGCCCCACACTGAGTACCTACGTTTGAATCCTGGCTTTGACTCTTGACTGCAGTTTCCATCTTCTATAGACCCAGGGACCAACAGTGATGGCTCAAGCAATTGGGTTCCTTCTATCCAAATGTGAGGCATGGATTGATTTCCTAAATCTTAGTTTTTTTCGCCTGTCTGTTGGCGGCCCTTGGGGAGTGAACAAAGGGAATGAGAGCTCTTTCTTTTCTGTGTCTCTTTCATCTCTTTACCTCTTAATTAAAAAAATTAAAACTTCTTTTCTTCATATAATGATTTTTATAAGGATATTTTTATTAAATATCCTATATTCAAATTATCAGAACTTTCAATCACCATCAAAATATTCTAACAAATTAAACTTCTAAAATTGATAATGTAACATTTTTGGTAGACCCTCCAACTTTGAAACTCTGAAATGTTTCTTGATAGTCAATCCTGAAAAAATCCAATTTTATTTAATTCAAAGAGGCTGGAAACAGAAACTTCTAACAAGAACCTTGAGGTGATTAACTGTAGTAGTAACAACCTGGCATGGCCTGGGACACACCTTTCCTCCTTTTCCTGTGGCTTTTCATTAATATTGCACTGGGTTCAGCAAGAATCAGACTTGCTGGTAACAGGTTAACAGTCTCCCACAGAGAAAAAGCATCTATTCAGCTGTCAGGTCTGTAACAGCAGGTTGCAAGTTAAGTTATTGCGATCTTTCCTAACATCCTCTTTCTTCCCACCAAGCCACACACAGGCAGCTGATGACACTGAAAGAGAATGTTTCCTTTATAGTGAAAAGCCATCATCTGAGTTCTCCCAGGAAGTGTCCAATTACCTAGAAGCATCCCACATATTCCACCCAGGCAGTGTTCTGCAAAGAAGAACTGAGCTTTGTGTGGCAATACAAATACTCTAAGATATATGAAGACATGCATTTTAATAGGCTAAATTGTTATTATAATGGGAATTTCTTGTGTGTGCAAATTGAAATATATAATCATCATCATCTGAGCATCAAGAGGAGCAGGAAAGAAAAATCAAATGTCTTATTGAGAAAATATTATTTGAGATAACAATAACTACCCTCCATTTATAACATCTATAAAAGCATAAAATATTTCAACTAATTCATCACATTTATGTACTGACCACTGTATTCCAAGTTGAGCATACACAATTTGAAAATTTGAAATCCAAATTGTTTCAAAAACCTATAATGCTCAACTTGTAAAGCCTATGCAAATATTTCAAAATCTGAAAAACTCTAAAATCTGAAACAATTCTGATCCCAAGAATTTTAGAAAATGGATTCACAACTTCTATAATTATCCAATTTTGAGAATTGAGATTTCAGATTCTTACAAATAATCAAAAACAGATTTTCCTCAAGTCATATAATCCGATAATTACGAAATTTTAAATTTAAATGCTCCCTGTCATCTCTTTCCTTTATAACATAAGGCAGATATGAATGTAAAGCATCCTTAATAATTAATTCTGGTTCTCATTATCACTCCTGAGATGAAATAATGTATATCAGAAAGCAGAAACATCAAAAAGTGGGCATAATGGCTAGGCCAATTAATTATTGGTTCCTGATTTACTTATAGGCTATGACATTAATTTCTGAGTTTTCTTCCCATTTTTTCCCCACTGATTCTGGAATACAGGTTATAACTAACAATAAATTCTTTTGATCTAAAAAAATAATTTTAACATTATGCTGAGTAAAAAGTCCGTTTGAAATAATACCATCATAGCTACTTTTAAATTAAATTACATAAACTGCCTTAATCTCAGTCCCCAGACTACCTTTGTGAATAGTACTTCCAGTGCAGCATTGCTTATAATATGCTTGTTGTTACCAAAGTTAAAAATCCTAACCAAGTAATGAAAATTTGTTTTGCTCCTATTTTCAAAAGAGAATAGAACAAAATGGATATTTTTTTGTTTATATAAATGTAAAATGTTCATTATTATTATTGGGTTCATGAAGAAATTAAGAATTATAGTAAAAATTTTAAAGGAATGTTTATACCTTATAATGTCAACAAAAAGTTAATTTGTATTTATTAGTAAAAATAAAATAAAAATAAATTAATAAAACTGCCCATTATTTTATTTATCTTGAAAGGAAGATTTCATATTAAATGCTTTACATAACTTTTCTTTTTTTTATTTTTTTAAATTTTTTTGACAGGCAGAGTGGACAGTGAGAGAGAGAGACAGAGAGAAAGGTCTTCCTTTGCCGCTGGTTCACCCTCCAATGGCTGCCGCGGCCGGCGCATCGCGCTGATCCGATGGCAGGAGCCAGGTGCTTCTCCTGGTCTCCCATGGGGTGCAGGGCCCAAGCACTTGGGCCATCCTCCACTGCACTCCCTGGCCACAGCAGAGAGCTGGCCTGGAAGAGGGGCAACTGGGACAGAATCCAGCGCCCCGACCGGGACTAGAACCTGGTGTGCCGGCGCTGCAAGGCAGAGGATTAGCCTAGTGAGCTGCGGCGCCGGCTTACATAACTTTTCAACATTTAACATTTTTTGACAGGCAGAATTATAGACAATGAGAGAGAGAGAAAGGTCTTACTTTCATTGGTTCACTCCCCTAATGGCTGCCACAGCTGGCGCTGCACACCAATCCGAAGCAAGGAGCTAGGTGCCTCCTCCCCGTCTCCCATGCGGGTGCAGGGCCCAAGCACTTGGGCCATCCTCCACTGCCCTCCAGGGCCACAGCAGAGAGCTGGACTGGAAGAGGAGCAACTGGGACTAGTACCTGGTGTCCCAACTGGGACTAGAACCCAGGGTACCGGTGCCACAGGCAGAGGATTAACCAAGTGAGTTGGTGGCAGCCAACATATAACATTTTAAAAGTGAAACAGAAACCAAGTTTTGATCTAACTAATTATAATCTTAAAGCAACACAAATCTGTATATCAACAAAATCATGTTTTTAAAAAATAAAAGCACAAATGGAATAGTCTATTGATATAATTAATAATGGCGGAGTAAGAAGTGTAAAACACTATATTTCATAAAAAAAGAACAGTCAATATCAATTACATCTCTGAAAAGTAAAAAAAAAATCAATAATCAGATCAGTTATTTTAAAAATGATAGAACAATAAACATGTGATGATTTATGATGTCTTGTCCCTACCTTTCTGTCTCTAGCTCCATGATGGTCTTTAAAATTAATGGTCCTGTAATTACTATAGTCAAGAAAATCAGCAAGCAGGAGCCACGAAAGGGGAAACACTATTTGAGAGCAACTCTAAATTGTATATAATACACTGCATTTTGATCATCTGAACTGTGAGATAGTCCAATGCATCAAAATATATAACCCATTTTATTTTACCAGCCCAAGCTTGTTTCACTATGAACAGTTCTTTCCCTGGGACATTTACTGTAAAACAAGCAGTAGAAAATATCTGAGAATTGAACCAACCAAAAAAAGAGACAGGTGAGAAACCATCAAGTGTACCAAGATTCATGTAATGGTAAACTCAAAAACAGGGGTGAAAGAAAAGGTGGAAATGCAAATATTTGAATAAGATTTCCAAAAATTCCATTTGAAGAAAGATTTATTTGCATAGCAAAAATAGCCCAAAATTCCAAGTACAATAAACTGAATATAATTCTTTTTATCATATCTAATTTAAAAGATCACTACACAAAGCAATAAGTATTTAACTGTGATAAGAATTTGATGTATAGATGCAATTTTATGATAATAATACCAAGAGTAAGGAGGAAAATTAAGTTATAGCAGTGTAGATACACACACCAAAAAATTGATACAATCTTAACCAGATGATTATAGATAGTCCATTGTAAATGAGAGGACAATCAAGAAAATAAAAAATTAATAAAAGAAATTATGAGACTATTTCACACAAAAATTGAATACAAATAACAAAATGAAAGATGTAAATCATACCCTATAATTGATTACAGTAACTGTAAATGGGATAAAAACCCTAATGAAAAGGCAAAGACTTGCATAATGTATATTTTAAAGAATATTACACTATGCTGCTACAACAAATAAAATCAAGGCACAAAATAACTTAAAATAAAAGAATGAAGACAAATATACTGCATAAACTAGTATCACACAAAACAGACTTTATAACCGAAACTGTTAATAGAGGCAAAGAACAATATTTTATGTTGATAGAAGAAATAAAGAAATAATCTAATATCTTTTTGGAGATAAAACTGTAGGTTTCCTTCCAACTCATTGCAATTAAGTGAATATCACAATAAAATGAGTTACATGAAGTTTTTTGGTTACCAGCACTTATAAAATTTATGATTACACTATATTGCAGTCTTTTAATTATGCAAGAGCAAGAAAGCAATATATGTTCCTAAAGAACAAAATGCTTCACTGTTAAGATAAATGAACAGTCATCTGAGCCTTCAGGAAGATGCATATTTTTATGGGTGAATGTTTATGGTTGCTAATAGATCAGGGTGGTAGTTGCTGATGTTTGAGGTGGAGTAGCAATTTCTAAAAACAAAACAATGAAGTCTGACACATTATTGTTTCTTCCTTTCATGAATTGACTCTCTAGAGCATAGAAATGCATGATACTATTTATAGATAATATAATTTCATCAAAATTGGAGGCAATCATCTCAAATTCTACTGTTGTTTTATCAAAAAGTATTATATACATATATAAGTAATTTGAAATCAAATCAACAATCACCATAGCATCTTCAATATGATTAGATTTCATCTCAAAAAACAATTTTCTCTGATAATCCATAAGAAACAACTCCTCATCCACTAAAGTTTTATCATGAATTTGCAGCAATTCAGTCATTTGTTCAGGTTCCACTTCTAAGTCTAGTTTCCTTACTATTTCTACCACATCTGCAGTTATTTCTTCCACTACAATATGAACCCTTGAAAATCATCCAAAAGGGTTGGAATCAGTTTTTTTCCAAACTGCTGCTGATGTAGAAATTTTGACTCCCCCGTGTGAATTACAAATATCCCTAATAACTTATAGAATGGTTCTTTTTGAGAAGATAGTCAACAACTTTGCCTGAATCAACAAAGGAATCACTATCTATAAAATGTGTTTTTAAGTAATAAAAGTTGAAAGTTGAAGTTTCTCATTGATCAGTGGTATGGAGAATGGATGTTGTATTAGTAAGCATGAAAATAACTCAAATTATACTGCACATTGCTATCAGAAATATTGAGTGACCAAAGGCATTGCCAGTTAGCATTGATACTTTGAAATGATCTTTGAGAGAGCAGTAGATGCGAGCAGTAGACGTAAAATACTTAACAAAGTTATAAATAAAATGCTGCCATACAGTCTTTGCTGTCTTATTCTATGTTATGGACATAGGTTCTTTTCCTAAATCCAGGAATCAACTTATGCTAGTCTCAAACTTTTATC